GAGCTGAGCCCGCAGCCTTCGCCCCGCACGCCCGCAGCCGCCCGGCCGCTGCCTCCGGGCCGCCTATTAATACCCTCCGCGCCGCTGGCCCGGCGCCAGCCGCCTCCTCCGGCAGCGGGGGGGCGGCGGAGGGGGGAGCCGCCCGCAGGCCCTCCCGGCACGGCTGCCCCCGGAGCCTGAGGGCACCGGCGGCGGGGAGGCCGCGGTAAGGCAGGAGGGAGTTTTTAAAGCCCGGGCGCTGCCCCTATTCCGAAGTCAGGGACTCGGTGCTGTCGCTGTTCCTGACAGGGTTTGTTTCGGTGCCTCACTAACCCTTCGCGGGCGAGGGACGGGGGGCGCGGGCAGGAGCCGGCTCCTCAAGGCACCGCCGGGGATACTTCAAGGCCTCCAGGCACACTGTAGCTGACCTCCTTATTCCAGCTTATTCTAGGACACCAGCCCCATTCAACGCGACGCAGACCTTAATTCTCATCCCTTTATTGCCGTGTAATTGCTACCTCTAAAAAAAACAAAAGACAAAAAAAGCAAACAAGCTTTCTTCTTGACAAAAGGTGTTAGTGCTGATGTCACAGAGAAGTCAGAGTGTCCAAAAATTAACCACCGAAGCCTTCAAAAGATCATGTCTTCCATTAAAATTCCGGCCTGATTAAAGTTTGGCAAAGATTTTTGGAAGCTAGTGAAGCATTCGGGTGTGAATGAAACATTTATTCAACCGTAGTAGCCTAAATTTCCTTGTTTGTGAGGAAACAAGTGTAACCCTTTTCTAGCTTCAACGGCAGACTCGAAGTCATTAATAACTTCTACAACTTGCAGAAGGTGATTTTGTAGCCCAATAGATATGCTATACCGCAAGAGATAAGTATTTGAACCTTTTGTGTTAGATAAAAATGGTAGATATCACTAAATTAAAAGTTCGTAGTTGCCTAGGAACAAGATCATGGCCTGATTGCATTCATCATGGGTAAATGAAGGACAGCCCTAATCAAAACTATGTATTTCTGCTGCTTCAAAAGAGCTAATTTCCACAAACTGAGAAAAACAGTAAGGGGAACTGTCAAGGCAAAAACCACAAACACTGAAAGAGGGGCTTTCTTAAAGACTATTAAATGGCCAAAAGACTTACAATTTTGCAATCACAGAAAGCAGTAACTTTCCTGTAAAAGGTGACACTTAGAAATAAAATGGGAAACAAAGAGAAATTAGATAAGTTACAGTTACTATAAATTAAAATATCAAAAATTGCTAAGGGAAGTTAATAGGCAAGAAAAAAATCTGTGGTTGTAAGAGCTGAAGACAAATGAGATGTTTCAAGTGTGTTAGGAATATAAAAAAACCCAGTGGTGATACTGGCCCATCAGTAAATGTTCGTAAGTGGTTTTGTGCTGATGTGGAAAATGTAAATATGTTCAATAAGTACTTCTGTGCTACAAAGGAAATAAGTAGGTGGGTCTCAAGGGGATTATGAAGAACTGCTCCAACCTGATAGTAATTAAGAAAGATAGGAATCATGACTAGTCTCCCACAAGGAAACTTAGATGACTTTTACTCCCAGTTCCAGAATAGATACTTGGGTTCTTTCACCTGGTTTAGTAAACTTTGGAATTCCAAATTTGAAATTCCAGAGGGGTGCTAATGTTATACCAGTAGTCAAAAAAGGGCAATTACAATGACAGCAAAATTTAGGCCAACATCAGAACCCCAGATAATAATGGAAATAACAGATTTAATGTAAAAAGATTTCAAAGAAATGAATAGAAATTATTTCAGTCTTTTTTATGAAAACAGGTCTAATCAAACTTCTCTAAATTCATTCTTTGATGAGATTGCTCATTTGGTTAAGTGCATATTGATGATTTAGACTTTAAGACAGTCTGAAAGAAAATGTAGTACCCCATGATATCATTAAAGCAGATGCTAAATTGACTAAGACTTTGCCTAAATGACTGATGACAAGGAGTAGCTGTCACTAAGGAAGCTTCATCAGCTGAATATGTTTCTGTAAAAAGGGCATCATATCTGAAAAATGACACAAAAAGGAGAGAAACGGTAAAGGTAATAAGGACCAAGCAGCCACATGAAGTAGTCTGAATTGAATGGTAAATTGGGCCTTGTCAAACAAAATACATTTATTGTAACTAAATCCCTGTAACAAGTTTGAAGGACTGTAGGTGCTGTGTACTGAGAGGGAGATGGCACTTGTTGAAGAAGATTTAGGGGCTGTAGCCAGTAACTCATCATAAATGCTCGCTCTGACACTGTTAAGAGGAGGGATTATTCTGCATCAGGCGGGTAGGAAGTAGGGGAGATAGTTTCATCTCTGGATGTATCACTTGATGAGACCAATCTTGTGTACTATGTTCCTGCCCATGTTTTGAATAAAATGTTGAAAAATTGGAGAGGGGGCAGATTAAGATCTGAAAATGTGATTTGAGAACTGAAGAAAAATGCTGCTAAGTGAGGCTTAAAGAGCTCAATCTGTTTATCATATCAAAAAGATAGACCTGATTACAGCATATAAGTACCTCTATGGAGAAAAAAAAAAAAAACAAAACTGAATTCTGAAGGGCTTTTTAATCTAGTAGAGAATGGCATAACAAGAAGCTGTGGCAGAAACTGAAGACAGACAAATTCAAATGAAGCACATAATTTTTCTTCTTAAGGTGATAATACATCACTGGAACAAGCTAACAAAGGCACTAAGACATTCTTAATGGTTTTATGTCCCCTGACTGGGACAAAATGTCTTTCTGGAAGATGGGTTTTAGTCAAATGCAAGTTACTGCCCTCAGTGCTTGTACATGCATGAAATTTAGTAACATAGGAAACAGAGGAGATGAGATCATATGACTAAATGATCCTTTGTGATCTTACTTCATTCTTTCTTGTTATACTAAGTAAATATAAGAAGGGTTGGCTACTGGTGAGCATCTGCTCAAGATTATATTGTCAGCTGACTGCAATCAGTCTCCATGAAAACATGCCTACCCTGAGTGTGTAGGATTTTAAATGATCACAATGCATGAGACATTCTTGGCAAGCAGAGTATGAAATATCAAAAGACAATCAACATTAGTCACCTATTTTCATTTATCAGTGCACTAAGCTGACAAGATTTCAGTTTATCTGGGTCACAAAGGAGCTCAGAAGAGCTTAAGGAGAAGCTGAAGGAAAGGGCAGAAGCATGAGTCCATTAAAAACACCGGCCATCAGACTTAGGTAACGTGATAATTAAACTGCAAGCTTCGAAATGCTGGCAGACAAAACAGATAACTAATTCTATATGCAATATTACACTAGTAAATATACATCAGTTTTAAATATTTATGGATTTCTTGCCCAGCTTGTGCATAAATGAATCAAGTTACCTCACCTGAAGCTATGATCCCCCATAATGAGCTGTGGTATGCAGTGAAGACTAAAAGGTTTGACACTGACAAGTAATACCTACCTCTCTGAAAGCAGCCAGGACCACACAACTGAATGTGTTGCACATAAACTATTGAGAACTGCATTTAAACATTTATGAACTAACATTCTTCTTAAATTGTTGTATTTGCCAGGATGTGAACTTGCATCTTCTCTCTTCTGCTTACAGAGTTGATATGGCACTGTGCATCTCGGTGCCCTTTCTGTTCTCATCACCTGTCCTCCTCCCTGAAGTTTGTTACATGAAGATGCAACCTTTTCATCAAGTGGGGAACCTCATCTAAACTATGCAGAAAACCAGTGGCTCTAAACAAAGAGTTAAACCAGAGCAGTAGAATAACAATATATTCCTTACTGAAGGAAGAAAGAATAAAGTTGGAGAGGGAGCGTTCATTTTGGAGTTAGCACTTAAACTTTTTTCCGATTCTGCTACCCCAAAATTCAAAAAAAAAGATTGCTTTACAAACAAGAAAACAATTTTATCTAAAAGACACTCAAAGATTTAGAACTACCTAATTTTGGTGTGTAAGCCCTTAACACCCTGTGAATGGTTCTGACTTCTAGAAATTATTTAGAAAAATGCCAGGCCCTTTAGATGGTCTTAAAGATGGAAGCTTTCAAAATTACCATATGCTTTTGCAAATCTAAACTGTAAGGTGCATAAAGTAGGGTCTCAGCTCTTTCTCTGTCTTTTCTCCAGGAGAAGTTGTGAGCTCCATTTTTAAAATTACAAAGAATTCTCAGCTTCAAATGGAGTAAACAAAAGCTGCAGGACCCCTGTGCTTGTGAAAATCAGATCCTGGGGAATTAATAATGGAAGTGTCATGGTTACCTCTATTGGTATCAACATCACCTATGGAACTCAAACATTAGTAGTCGGGTGCAGGTAACTGAGACAGGGAAGAAAAAGCATTAAGAGGTTGAAGGGCATTCATTACCTTTTTCATGCCTAGAGGAATAATGTTGCTGTGCTACTGGAGGCCAACCAAAGGTGAAGACTGATCATTCTATACAGTAAAGCGAAGAAGTAGATAGGCTCTCAAGTTGCAGCATCTGATGCCTTCAGAGGAACAATATTACATTAGCTGGTTGGCAAAACACGTTGTTCAGAATGTCAAGGCTCAAAACAACAAAACATCAGTAGGTGAGGCTCAGACCCTAAAGGCATCAGCAAAGAAAACAGCATAAAGAATACTGACTTTCAACAGCAAAATATGGCTGCAGGACCCTTCCTGGAGATTATATTCTGTGTATCACAGGTGATCAAATGTCATTCCCTTGAGACACACATAGGCCACATCTTCTTTTGGACAGCACATCGTCAGATGTCCAAAGGTCTCTACATACTGTGAAGAGTCTAGTGGGAGGAAAGCACGGGGAGCAGTTCACAAACAGCAAAAGCCTAGGCATCCTTAGGAGGCAGGGCAAGGACCTGTCAAATACCAGAACTCACTGCTGTCCCTGCTGGTGGTGCCAGGGGCAGGATGAGCAGTAAACAACAACAGCCTGAGAGTCAGAAGCACTGAAAGGACATCCCACCACTCCACTGCAGGCCTGGACTGGACATCCAGGTCAGGCCTGTGGCAACCTCATGTTGCTAGCTTTATCCCTGCTTGCTGATCAAATGGAAACTCACCCAAATTGCTGGCAAGTCTTTCGTGGTTTCATAGACTCAGCTTAGATACCCACGTTGTGTATTTAAATCTATTAAATCATGTCTATATTTTCTTGAAAAAAAAAGGTACGATAATCCAAATAGGGCTATTTATAACACTTGAGCATGTAAACTTTCAAGATTGGCTTTTGTTGATTGAAGTCAATAATGAAAATTACAGATCTAACTGTTATTATTCCCATGTTTAATAAAAGAAGCCTAGCAACATACATTATTAAAGGTAGACTACCTAAGGTGCCTGATCTCAAAATTGTAATACTATTTTTATATAACTGATACATCTTGTACATTCTCCTTTAATCAATGTTGACAAACCAGGTCATGTCATATCCCTTCTCTAATGCTGGTTTTGGTGGGAGGAGAAAGAATTTAAAACCTCATAGGATGAGGAACCTTGCACGATATGGGAATCAACATATTGTTTCACCCATTATGTTTTAATCAAATATTTTCCTGGGGTAGATATGTGCTCTGGGAAAGATCCTCATGATAAAACAATGCTTCACAATTCTCATTACTCAGGTTTATGAAGTTGCTTGCCCCTTCTGTAATTCAGAGAGATTAAATCACTCTTTCAAATTAAAAATAGGACGATCAACTGATTAGAACAGGACTTCTGTTTGCTCTTTGAATCGGGCAGACAAAAGAGGGAGCAGAAGCAACAAGGAAATCAGTTCAAGAATTGTAACAAATAAATGAGGATATTTAAAATCCCAGACTCTAATTGTATCTCAAGATCTTATTGATTACAAAGAAAAATACAAGTTTCATTCTTATGGTTTATAACATTACCAAAATCTTTTGATGGCCTGTTATATTTTGTTCTAGATAGAGAAGCCAAGGGAAAAATGGCTAATAAAAGCAAGGTGTTTTCATCCTTATTATGTGTCTGTACTCGATGTTTTTTAATAAACAAAAAGATATTAGTTTTTTTTTTTTTTTTTTTTTTAATGCAAGAATCTTAACATTCTATTTGAAGCATAGAAAGAGAAAGGGGATCACAGAGGAGGGATAGAGAAAAATTAGAAAAACACCAGATACTGCTCTACTGCGGTCGCTGCAGCTAGTGTGGGCATGCATGAGCTATCTTTAAACTGTCAAGCTTGGATATTGCTAAAGAAGTAGCAAAAGTAACACAATGCTCAAGGCAAACTGCAGACTCTTCCTCAAGGCTGACTATTTGGCATGTGGCCCACACGAAGCTACACACTGCTGCAGCCAGGGTGCTATCCTGCACAGGGCTGTAACAGATGATCATATCTGCTGGCAGAACAGATCAATGATCAGCCCTTGGTTTATCTTGGAAGTTAGGAGAGAAAACCCATGTATGAAGATTACAAAAGCTGAAGATGCAATTAGTAAAAAGACAAGGTTTCACTCATCAGTCAGCTGCATCAATTAGACTCTCCCACAATGGCTCCTTTCCTAAATATTTTATAGATAATTTTGAATCAGGCTTCAATAGATATTCTTGAGACAATAAACTGAAGATCACAACAGTAGATGTGATGAAGCAGAGAAGGGGCAAACTCTCCACTTCCATGTTTTGTGGTGACAGGAATTTTAAGAAAACCCAATATACCTGGTTTTCCACATAAAGTAGCTTGCATGTTTGTTCCCCACCTAAAAAACAAACAAACAAACAAACAACTCTTAAAAAAAAAAAAAAAAAAAAAAAAAAAAAAAAAAACAAACAGCAAATTTTGAGCAGGCTAAGTATATGCCATCCTGAAATACCTTTGTGGCAAAAGCTGTAGTTGCCACATTAGCAAGCCATAAAATAAAAGGCATGGATATTGTTTCTAGTATCAGGATTTATGTCCTTTGTAACTTACAGCCACCAGAAGTTAACGTGAGTCCAAGAAATGCACTCAAACATGTCTAACACTCCATCCAGTGCAGGGCATTGTTTGGTACCATCTGGAAGCAGATACAGATACTGCAGAGTGGAAGTGTAACACATCTACACTGTCTTTCAGAGCATGTACCCATGTTAAGTAAGGAGGGTAATGCCTGAGCTTCCTTGTCTCTGTAAACTTCAGGAAGAGAATTAAGTTTATGTCAATTCAAGACAGATTTTATATGAATTCTTTCCTGTTGCAAAACAAGAGTCACAGACCACATAACATTCAGAAGGATGCAAAGCTGCAGGCAATTTCAGAACCATACTGAGCAATGTTATTTAGCAAAAAAGAAGTCTGTGGGTTCTGCAAATGAAATTACTCCAACACTTGCTTGCATAGCAAATGTAGAATTCTGTGTACAACCAAGGTACAGTAACCATCATGAAACTGCATTTGGGGACAAAAAAAAAAAGCTCCTTTGAGACATCTTCATATCTGATGTGACCTTGTACAATTTCACTGCAGTGAGCACTATTTCTTATATTTGTTCAAAGACCTGTTGTGGCTGAAGAAGTCTGAGGTAAAATGAAATTGCTGTATGCAGGGACTGTAATAGTTAATGTTATGGCTGGGATACAGAGACTAGGCATAGGCAAGAAGCAAACAGATGTCACTATCCCACACCCAGAACAAAGTATTTTTTTAATGGTAACACATTTTAAATATTGTAAATACCGCATGTAGATTAGAGAGATGGTTTGAGTTAGGTGGCTTACTCCTTCTCTGTTTCCAGAAGAAATGAAGCAGCGATAGGGAGAGGCCTAACTTCTTCAGGACAGTATTAGCTATATGAAACCAGAAGGCACTTCTGGCCTATGTCAGCTCTTTCATGCTAGCAGAGGCAGAAATTATGTCAATGGCCCTTTTGTCTGTCTGTACACTGTTGGTTAAAAAGCACAACTATGCCAAAAACTGTTATTGTGATAACTGGAAGCAGTTTTAATGTCTAGGACCCCATGCAAAGAGTAAAGCGACCAGTTACTTCCAATGGACACACATTCAACTCCAATTCAAGTCTATCCTGATACACCTCATATAGCTTTCACAACACTGAGCTACATCACTGGCTACAAAGAGGTAACCTATGCAACAAGCTGGCCTTGCAAATTCAAGCCTAAGACCAAGAAATGGAGATGACTGGGAGTGGGGCACAGTACAGTGCATATCAGTAATGTCTGCAATTTTAGGGGTTTTTTGGTAGTTATTTCTCCATCAATTATTTTCTAGTGAGGAAAAAGTTTAGTTTGTGACAAAGCATCTTTTCTGAGATCAAAGGAGATAAACAAGAAATATAAGCACCTCTCAGGACAAGAATTATGCTAAGCAGCTCACTCCTCTTAGCATTCTCAGCTCTTACATAACTTTAAAAGTCCCTTTTGTTAGATTAAAGAAAACAGCTTGCATACAGACAATATAATGAACAGAAAGGTCAATGCCAATGCATTGCTGAAAGTTACCTCCTACACTCCTGAGAGAGCAAGGATCAGAATTCCTGTCTAATGCAGCCAGCGTAGTGCCCTGCACATGAAGTACCTTTGACATTCTGAGGTTGAGAATAAGACAGTGATGTAAAATTATTACACAGCAAAAAGAAGCAGAAATCCCAGACCCTAACTAGGAGAAAAAACTGTCCTTGTTGGTAAACACTGTAATCCTTGTTTCTGCTTCTTAAGGACTCAGAAGACCACTTTCTCCAAAGACGACACCATGAAAAGCACCAGCTGTTTCTGCTGATGGAGCTCAGGCAAAGCTAGGACAGGCCCACCTGAGGAAGGCGTTGATATAACATGAGATGTGGTACTTAATGAGAATAGCACAACAGAGTAGACTTCTGACATGGATACCTACAGACCTTATGCAATATGATCAGTATATTAATTTTAAAAGAAACTAAAGTTTCCAGTGTCGAAATGTCAGTATGTAAGCAAATGAGAGAAGAACTTTGAACAAGAGGGTCTTTTGACTGTTTTCAGCCGAGATATTTTAGACTCTTTGTCAAAGATTCACAACTGAATAGCTGGACTGGAGCCTCTGCGCTGCTATTTCTTTCACCATCAAACACTTTGGGAGCAATATTAGATATTAGGATTATGTGAACTGGTCTCTTGAAAACAGTGATTCACACAGTATTTTTGAGATTTTATTTTTTTTTTTTTTAGGAAGAAAATTAGATAAAAACTTAGCCAGCTGCAAACCAAAAGTTGCAACTTGAGGGAAGTGGTTCCAAGTTCTGGATTTTTCAGTTAGGTAGACTCTTTCATGAGCTGTGCTGGTATCAGGCTACCCAGGCAGGAAGAAGGATTCATTATTTCTAATAATACTTTTTTTTATTTAATTGTTCAGAACTGATTTTCTCCTGAGACATCCTCCATTCAAACTTTTAAGTTATTCTTTGTTAAGACTTCTTTTCTCTCTGGACTTCACAGGTAAAGAAATGCAGAGTATGATTGCTCAGTCAACCACTTGTATTCCAAATAGTAGAGATGACAACACTTCATGGTCTTGCATACTTGACAACACAGAAGACTACAAATACAAAGACTCTGCAGATATATCAGAAAGAATGGATCCAAGTGAGTCACAAAATACAGGGCCTGCCAGCAGTGCAATGGAAAGAAATCAACTTCCACCTTGTTTTAGAAAAGATGCCACTACCACTTTACAACTGAACTATAGGGAACATCTGACTAGCATATAAACCTAAAATGTATAAATATACATACTGTTAAAAATTACATAAAGAGAAAATGCATAATTTTAACACATTCTTTTAGTACCCACTTACACAGAGCAATACAGAGTGGTATATAACACATTTAAGGATAAAGATGCCATTAAATTATATACTTCACAGCCAACTGTGGTCCATTAAAACCAGTTACATTCCCTCCTGAATCATAACCATCTTCTAACATTTAATGTCAACAGCGACATAAAACCAAAATATGTAACTTCACATCATCTGCGTTGCATTCTGCACATAAGCAACCCATTTCTAAAGGTTTGTCTAGGCACAGTTTTAGTGTCAGTGTAGCTGTTCACACATAACAAAACTGACACAACCACTGAAACAGATTCTCTTACCACTGGTATTTAGAAGTGCTAAATCAGTAGCTCAAATCAGCATATTGTCTTTTAAAACAGGGCTACTTATATTAAGTTCATTCTTCTTAATCATATATGTCTTTGATTTCTGTTCAAAGGTCAATCCCTATAGTTTAGACATTTTCAACAAAATTTCAATAATATGGTCCCCTAACATAAATTGGCCCACTGTAGCAAAATTAGGCATCTCAGATTACTTCCAGTTTTTCAGGATGACTCTTTAAGGCTTTTTATCGCAGTATTTGGCCATCAAAAGACAAGACTGCTGTGTGCTTTCAATATGCCACACACTGCTACTGTTTTTGACCCTGCCCTGTAAATCCATTAATATATTCTTTAATCTTAGTCCCTTGTTACTCAGTTCATTTACAGTGGCAGAGTGACAAGTAAGGACTTTTGCTCCATTCTGGATGCTTTTGTTTCTTTTCAGATGTCAAACAAATTCCTGAGTATTTTTAGTGCTAGAATGAAGGTATTAATTGCACCATTCGTTTATCAGGCAGAAACCTCTGCTGATAGCAAATGGGATTTTTTGCTTAACAATTCTAGCCCTGAGTATCTTTTACACTTTACTGCTCCCATTTTCTCAGAGGCTAGCCTTAAGAACTGGTGTAATAAGAGAACTTCAAGTCTCCCAAGGAGTACTCTCTTTTCTTTTTCCTTTTCAAAGAAAATTAAAGTTTGTTGGAAAAAATACATAAGTGTCTGACCCAGCACAGACTCATTAGAAAAATCTCATATTTTTAATTTTGTTACTCTGAGGCTTTTTTCAGTATTCTATTTCTCACAACAATAAAAGTCAGACACTAATTAGTTTTATAATAAGGCAAGCTATCAAAAATTGAGAGAGCTAATTAGTATTTCTCCCTTACCAGTCTAAAAAAAAAAATAAATTCAATAAAAAGGT